TTCACAAAAAATCTTAAGTTGTTATAGATTTTTGCGATACAATAAACGATAACTATCAAACAATCATTACACAAACTGTTCACAACGACATAAAGTATAAAAAAATAAACGAAAACTCTGATTGAGAAGAAAAATAAGTGGCAAATAAACTAAACTTTTACAATGTCGTTTAAAAGGGACGGTGTAATACGACAGCGTAAAATAAAGATAACACTCAAAACGCAATACCGCGGCTGTCCTACGAATGTATACTACCCCAGGGCCGGGGTCGGACGCACTAATATATTACCGCGGACTACATTCATTAGCAATTTGTTGGGCTCTAGGGGTGACACTTTCAATGTCATCATATACTTAAAGAAACAATGTAACACTACTAAGAATACAAATCGATTGACAACCCATGCTTCAAAATCGACGAAACCGTTTAGGGTACAGACGTTCACAATCAGATATTATAATTCTATACAAATTTACAGGAATAATAAATATAATTTTATTGTAAAAAGTCATTCCTCATTTCAGAAAAGCAAGTCAAACAAAATACTTATGTTAACTGGAGTCGTCATCGGGAACCGTCATTACCAACTGTTACCACTTTCCGATCCCGTTTTATACACTTTGGCGTTATTGTTTGGATCTTAGTACCTATAAATTTTACTGCATATATTTTGAAGGTATCGAAAATTCGAAGTTAATTGTCAATTTACGCCGTTCGCGTTTATAGTCTCGACAAAAACATCTGGCTGGCTGATTGCTTACGTTTTTATGTTCGTTTTGAAACTCTGCCAGCGCGAGAGTCGCAAACATTTCTATTTATACATCATAAATACAATTATAAACCGAATAATTTAAATACGTCTTAAAGTGAAATTAAGTAAATACGTCGTACACTTTATCGATACAAAGACCTTTGGCAAATGTGTGAAAGCAAGTTTGTGTGAAATACGAGTTATTCGTTCAGGATCGGCTCTGATTAAAATCTTTAAGACGTTCCGGCACCTTGCCTGTCTCCATTAACTGATTAGCTTTCTTTCTAACCCCATTAGGTACTTTCCGATCACTTCCTTTCTATATGAATCTTATCTTTATAAAGTTTTTAGCTCTTAATTTATTAGCTTTAAATTTAATTTACTCTTACTTCCATAAGTGCTTTAACATAGCTACACTTTCTTTTATATAATTTGCATTAATATGATTAAAATGTTATTTTTTAAATACTTCCATTTTCTTTTAAAAAAAATTCTATAGAAATTCTAGAGAAAGGGAGGTTAGTATAAAGTTGTCTTTATACAAGAGACAAAGATTTACTTTTAATGTGTCCGATATAAAACTGTGGACCTAACCCCCGCCTAAAAGCAAACGCGTGTCGTGGAGTCCTTGAGGGTATTTCAGTGACCACATCCCGAGGGTCAACTGAAAGGTTTGACCATACTACGGTATTTGTAATTCAAACAATGCTCTCACACGAAACAAATAACCACATACATTAATGTTTAATCAAGTACTAAGAAATCTCTCTAAAAACCTGTTTTCTACGAAAAACTAAATATTAGGAAAATGGAATGAAAATCAAATAGAAAGAGGGAAAAAACGTCTTTTTGGAGTTGAACTGTTTAATCTAACTTAGTGGATAGTATCATACTAATTAGCTTCATTAGCACAATCGCAATGTTCAGTTCAGTTCAGTTCAGTAGCGAATATACGTGAAGGATTCAGTAGGAGCAGGATATAGCATTTGAATAGCCCTACGTTAGTTATTCAGCGCGTGACCGGTCCGTGGCGCGGGCGGCCCCGCTCCCTCGTAAATCAAACTAGCCATTCGCTATTCGCTTATGCATTATACAATTTTATTTGTGCTAGTCCGCTGAATAGGTAATAAACTATGGCAGGTGAAACGTTCTGCCGAATGCCGCGAGAATTTGAATTGTACGCAAACTTGTTTACCGGACATAGATTTACTATGCGTTTTGTTCCACACGAGTTTTGCGTGTGTAATATTGCTGATATTTGCATATTTTTTCTACTTTAACCCTTTTTACATATGTAATGTGAGCAAATGTTTTATTGCGCTCCTTTTGAGGAGAATGTTTCTTCATGTCTAATAAAGGTTTTTTTAATAGCATTTTGCTACTATTTTTATGTTGCAAGGTTTGGAAAGAAATTTTATCGGAAAATGAAAAGAGATAAATGCCTCCACTGTTATTAAAACATCGATCACCATATGCACCAGTAAGTAGAGTTATCTTGCTACTAGCTGTCGCCCGCGACTCCGCCCGCGCGGGATTAAAAATAGATGTTAGCCGATTCTCAGACCTACTCAATATGCTCACAAAATTTCATGAGAATCGGTCAAGCCGTTTCGGAGGAGTACGTGAACTAAAATTGTGACACGAGAATTTTATATATCATGTTATAAAGGGGAATACGTATGTATAATTCTTTTCTCATGTTGTTTATCAGAACAAAGCTAAAGTATTTTTTTTAGTCTGACCTTATAATTGGTACATACCTATAACTGAATTTCCACTTCTAACACTAGTTCGTTAATGAATACGGGAATTCCGTTCAGATCGTTGTAAAATTCGAGTATACATTGTCAGACTTTACGGGCAACTATTAGTAGTTAGTTTTGCCGAGGTCTCTTCATCAGGGGGCGCGGCGGAGCGGCAAATTCACTCCAACCCTCGTTCCACACGTGACTGCCTGCATCTCAGACGCGTCTCACGATTATCCTTACGTTTAATGTAATTGCTTAAATTGTTATACCGTTTTTATAACTCAATTTACGTGTAATTAATAAAAAAAAACGATAAATGTAATATTAAAGATATGTGATATATGATAGAAAATGACTCAAACCAGAATTTTCAGTCTGTTTTGATTAGAGGTAATTAAAGTTTTACTTAGTGTCCGTTATGTTAAAATCGACCTTTATTTTTTGCTTGATTAATATCTGCATTGGTTTTGTCGGTCTTTTCAAAAATAACTTCCATATTTCTACGGAAACGTGAGAGAAATTTAAAAGCAATTTAACAGAAAATATTGTGGTATAAATAAAATATAAACGTGCTCCCAATTATAGTTACAACGGGCAATTAAATTAAAACATCGAAACGAACATTCTCGAGCGTAATCACCTCTTATTACAATTATCATTATCAATAAAGCCATTGATTAATTGAAAACAATGCAAAACTCTGATCCGCGTTCAGTTTAATGAAATGGGAAGTGAAATGATCATAATTACGGTGAATGTTTTTACTGTATTGTAACCCTCGTTGGCGGAATCACCTCGCATTACCATTGCGACAAATATTTACAACGAATGCCACCATTCGCTTCGGTATACCATAATAATAACTTTTACAATTACATTTACTAAAAATTGGATTTACAGATTTATAATATACGAAACTTTTCGTAGAAAAAAAAACTATTTCTAAGTTTTGCCAATAACAACGTGTCCAATTACATCTTACTAATATTATTAATGCGAATGTTGGGATGGATGGATGAATGTTTGATTTGGTATCTCCAGAAAGACTTAACGGATCTTGATGAAATTTGGCAAAGATGTAGAACATAGGCAGAAGACCAAATAGGCTACTTACTGAGTTTTTTTTTATTCTGCGCGGCCGGATTCACAGGCGATATCTGTAAAAATATTTTATTATTGTACAACAAATACTTCAATATCTATAGAATCACAATCATCCATTCAGATAATTACATAAACACTTGACACAGAATATTTTTTGGACTATAAAGTATGGATAAAATGGTCCAAAATATTTATGTACGAATTCCGAAAATAGCGTACAGCCAAACCCTAAGGACGCACTTTGTTCTTACAAAGAAGTTTCAGAAGTTGTTCAACAGATGTTCTGCGTGACTTTTATACCCAACACTTGTATAATAATAACCATTCTTTACATTTTGTTGGGAAAATAAATATTATATTAAGTTTATCATGACTATTTCATCGTAGATTTGCAGGTTGTTTGTGTTAGAAAGTTGTAATATATATTTTTTAATATACTAATAAAATACCCAAATGATTTTTGATAGTGTATTATTCGTAATATTTAAAAAATATTTTATACTGTCTTACTTTTTTATCAGATTTTACTTGTGCTGATTTACTTGGCTGTAATAAATACCAGCTTTTGTGTTCCGATTTGAAACAAAAGCGACAGCTATAAAGAGAGTGATGTAAAAAGATTATAATTAAATGCACTGCAAGATTTTAAAAAGAAACTTCGAAAAACTCTCTCGTGTAATGGAAATCGTGCCCCACGGCCCCGGGGGCATCGCGGATTCCCAACACAAAAGATTCAACAAAAAGGTTCTGCCGTCACATGAACATTGTAAAACTCGCCCTCTTACTCACTTCTAGCAACGCACACAAATACAAACTTTAAGCCCATTGATTAAGTTACATTTTCAACCTGCGCTAATTGTGTACGAACAGTTTTTTTCCAATCCGATAATGCGACCTTAGCGTCGGGATCATGGTTTACTACAAATTGTATTAGAGTAGTAGATTTAACTATTTACGCGTGTCCGAACTGGATACCGGCTACCTTTACAACCTACAACGAGTAATAACACTAAATATAGGTAACTTTTCGTTATTTTTGGATGGATGTTTGTTTGAATTTATCTCCAAAACGACTGAACGGATCTATATGAAATTTGGTACATATAGATCTTAGTCTGGAAGAACACATAGGCTGCCTGTTAGGTTTTTTTTTAATTACTCGCGGACAGAGTCGTGGGCGACAGCTAGTCTAACATAACTTCAATATAACCATAATTTTATTTCTTAATAATCTTCGTGTCTAATTTGGCGTGAAAGTTTGTAACTTTACGTAGGAGAAGTCGTAAGGCACAACTAGTATTTAAAAAAATTTAAGAAAATTTCATGTAACTTTCCAGTTCATTTCTAGCAAAAATTACAACATGAAAATTACGCGGCAATTTACTTTCCTCTGCGAAATTACGAAACAATACACGTGGAGTGAACCGTATTACCCTTTGTCGATTGCGGTCCAGACAAGAGAAATACGTAAACCGATACACGATATATTGCCAGCATTATGTAGTGCGGCCCGTAATTGAGTTATCCAGCGAGTTAATCCGAATGAGTAGTTATATGGGCGAGTAGTTAGTGATTATATTAGCTGGGATACATCACTTGCGTCCAGAATGCAGCCCTCGTGCCGCTCCAAGCTTCTTCACAAATCGATTATCTCTGGCCGTCTCGCATTCCACGGATATCGTCTTGATCTCGATTCCTATAGGAAGGTGAGTATTAAATATCTATCTAGATGCGTCCATGCTCTGAATATTTTGTTGCAAGTATTACTAATCTTGTATTTCTCGCTCGTTTCTATTTCAAGCTTTATTTTTTTTAGATGTCATAATTAGATGGTTGGTACCTTGACATGTTTTAGAGATCGGTTAAAGTCAAACTTAATCATTAACAATTAGATGTCACACACTTGTAATGTTGTGTTATTAGATTGTATGATGGTATAATAGTCTGAAGCATTTCCCCCGAGCAGGCACGCAATGGATTGTTATCTCACCGAAGCCTGTATCAAATCTTGAAAATCGCTCGGTATTGTTGTCTTTTGTGTTCATGTCCGCATTCGTTTTCCATCGCACACCATTATTCACATTAAGTGGACAGATCTCGGGTCAGATCCAGGCGCAAGAAAAGCACAAAAAGTGCCCGCTTTATCCGACCATGATAAATCTACTTCAAATCCGAGAATAGCGTCTTTTATGAAGGAAATTGAAATAAACCGACCGTGCGGATAACGGCTAAGTAAGAAGATCGGGATCCTTTTAGAATATATCGGCGAATCATTTTCATTCATCACGCTGTTTTAATGTTCTATTATCATATTAATTGTTTGATATTACTGGATTAAAACAGGGTCCCTGCACTATGTGTACAAAATCCAATATAAAGTTAACCAATCACAAATTGCTTAAACATCATATTAACCTAATAACCTATGCAATATTCTACATTCAATACTGTAGAAAATGTTTACTAAGATTTCTTTTTTCGTAGCAACATAATGCATATAGATTTACGTCGTACTTTTAGTGGCGGGACAGAAATCGAGCGTGAAATGGTTACCACACGGAGCAGTTGTCTCGTGAACAAACGAAATAGCAGATCGCCGGCCGGCGTTTGGCGGAAAATTGGCTGGCGCAACTGAATATAGCATGCTCGTAACTTTAGATAGGTCTACGTTTATTACCAGCAGAGTGAAATAGTAAAGGTCATGTAAACTATTTTTATTGTTCCTCGCATTTCTATCACGTTTATATAAAAGGATTACATTTTGTTTCGGCTTAATTTAATGAGTAGGGATGAACAAGACCTTCATTAAATAAAAATTAAGTGCATTTAATCTTGTATACCTATCATTTTATACATATGCGTAATTAATTATTATGTAAGTCTAGGAAAGAGCTTTTACAAAAGCAACTTACTGAAATAAAACCCTCAATGTCTTGGCCTGTACATCTCTAGATTGTCTTGTCATTATTTGTGTTATGTCAAATAATCACAATCTCCAAATTGTAGGGTCTTATTGACCTTTTTTATAATTTAATTATGATAACACCAACCCAGTATGACGAAGAAAACCGGGTCAGAATATTAAGTTTAAAAACATGTTGCGTTAAAATGAGATAAGAATTAAGGGGAAGTTAATTTTTCCATTTTGTTTTTTAATGCAACCTTTTTTATTAAAATCAATTGTTGTTGTTTCGTCTCTTTAAAAGTGTCAAAGATCATTTGACACCAGTATTTTTAATTATAATTTGTTTTACATATGATAAAATTTTTGCTGAATTAATTGATATTTCCAAAATTGATATGTCAAATGAAGAGAAATGTGTGCAGTTCGTTCCTAATGATGATATTGAAATCGTTGACAACAATATAATGCGACAATCATTGTCTTCTATTACAAGAGAACTTCAAAGGTATATTTTTGCAAGAACTAAGTTTAAGTTTGTTATATTTCCCCTTGCTTCGTTGTTTTTAGTCGATTGCCCTTGTATTTTCAATAAGGCGCCACATGAAACGGTCCATCGGCGACTTTAACCAGGTCTCTACAACCTTTATCGATAAAAATTAATAATATGTCTGTTTATCTGTATATCGAGAAAAAAAATCGCATATAATACACGTTTCGTCTGTATGTCTTTCTGGAAGACCGTGTTTGTTCCGGGTAATCTCCAGAACGGCTGGACCTTTTTTAAAAGAACTTTGACTGGGAAGGTAGCTAATGTACCCAGGCATATTATAGGCCTTTTTTATTCTACACTGACGAAGTTTCGGGCAATCGCTAATCAGATCATGGAAGTATTCCAGTCTTAAAGATTTCACTCCTATTCTGGAACTTCCTCTCCGGTCTACTTTATCTATATCTAAGAACTTTCCAGATTCCATTTCAAAGATCAAGATTCTAAAGCTGAATGTAACGTATTTGAGATAGTTAAACAATGCAAAGAAAATTTAAAATCTAAGAGGAAGAAGATGAAAAAATTGAACGAAAAAATCAAAACTGCTTGCTGTTAGTACAACAAAAACATTTATACAATAGTTTGTAACAAATGACATTGAACATTAATATCTTTGGTTAATTTTTCCAATTTATTTTTGTAGTTGTAGCAAGTACCGTTATGTCGGCTAAGGCTAGAGAATCTGATAAAATGAAAACACTTGTTGAAACTATTGAAAACAATTCTGAAAAAGTTATTCAAGACAATACAAAATTGAAGCAAATTATTGAAGACCTAACCAAGGAAAACTTAAAGGTTTACAATAAAATCGACAATCTAAATAGCTGGATTAACTTGGGTTATGAAAAATTACAGAATCTTCGTAATCAACCTGTTGAAGATGTAAGCGTTTTTAATAAATTAAAAACGATAATATTTTATTGTGGTCAGTATTATGCCGATTACCAAAATGAGATGCAAAGATGTGAACAATTAGAACAAAAATCGCGCTTCTATTATAACAAGTTGAAAATTTTGGAAAGCGATTATAAGAATGTTACACATGAAGTTAAAAGTTTACGTTATCAGAATATGATGTTGCAACGCATAAAATACAATGAAAATAGTCTTATCACAAATACACCAGTAGTACTTACTGGAAGTGCAGTGAAAAATTTTCAGAAAAATGCTTCCGAAGAAAATCTATCAACGCTTTGTAAACGTAAAAAAGAACCGGAACCTTTTGATTTATCATTACATTTATCCATTGTTCGAAAACTACTTCACGATCAAAGTACAATGATTCAAAACTTAAATCAACTGTCAGAAGAACTTAATATATGTGAATAATTATTGTTAAAATTATATAACTCCCTTATTATTAATCATTGCTGGTCAAAAACCATAGTAAATCTGCAGAGAATTAATGTGTTCACAAAAAAGCTCTACAAAAGTTACTACGCGCATTTAAAACATCAGGAATGAAAGGTATGAATAAATTTAGTTTTCTAATTTAAGTACTAACCTACTCTTGATCATCAATTACAGGATACGGGATATTAAATCACATTCATATTCACCTATAGTTAATTGTAAAATTTCCAATAGGTAGTTTGTACAATTTTATTAAAAAACTGATTATGCTGACACTTAAGTTACATTCTTGATAACTTGATAACGTTTATAAAATATAACATGAAAGAATACTAATGAATTGAGTGTATCTATGATGCGACGTGTAGCGAAAAAATAAGGCCTCTAAAAGTAAGTTGACATGATGTATTATAAATACGTAATTATTCAATATTTGAAAGAGTGCCTATTTGTTATTTTAAAAGTACCCTCATACGGAACACAAATATTTAAACACCTAAACACTTTTCTTGCTTGATTTAAATTTTATCGACGATTCAATACTTAATATTACATGCTCTATGTTTGTACCACTCGTACCACTTTGACTTTATGAAATATTTTTAATCTATTCTAAAAGTCGATAACCTACAAAAGTTTTACCGAAATCGAAACTCGAAGCCAAAAGCCAAGCCGAATACTTCTCTGTAAACATATATCGTTAAGTTTAAATTAAGAGTACTATAAATAGATGTAATGAATGTTATTTAGGTGCAGAGCAATCGGATTCACAAGGTGCATCAGGCTCACAGAGCTATTGCTATTTCGTTACCGGTCGGTTGTCACAGCCGAAATGTCTTTAGAAAAAGCAAAACAAGTGGCTGCATTCCAAGCTGTGGATGAATTTGTGAAAAGTGACTGCATCTTTGGTGTTGGTAGTGGTTCGACTGTTGTGTATGCAGTGCAACGACTTGCGGAAAGAGTTGAACTCGAAAACCTTAAGGTTGTATGTATACCAACTTCGTTCCAAGCTAAACAACTCATTATAAAACATAATCTGACACTCGGAGAACTCGATACAAATCCTGTGATAGATGTTACAATTGATGGCGCAGATGAAGTCGATTCGAACATGACCTTGATAAAGGGCGGCGGAGGATGTTTGTTACAAGAGAAAATCGTTGCTTCCTGTTCAAAGAAACTTGTAGTCATAGCTGATTACACCAAAGACTCTCAAAGACTGGGTGATAGATATAAGAAGGGAATACCTATAGAAGTAATACCTATGGCTTATGTTCCAATTAGAAACAAAATAACACAAAAGTATGGTGGAGAAATAAAGTTACGGGCTGCCATAGCAAAAGCTGGACCAGTTGTCACAGATAATGGCAACTTCATTTTAGATTGGATGTTCACAAATCAAGATCTGGATTGGGAGGATGTTAGTGCATTTGTAAAAATGATACCCGGGGTTGTAGAAATTGGTCTTTTTGTAAAAATGTGTTCTAAAGCTTATTTTGGGCAACCAGAAGGTACTGTGGTGGAAAGATCTGCTTAAGTTTTTATATGATACTATTATAAATTATAAGGGTAAATCTCAATCATTTTATATGTTCCTGTTTTTGTACTGTAAAATAAACATTTTCTAATAATGATGTTTTACTTATTAAAATAAAACAATAACAATTTAATTCAATCCTTTCAGTCTACCTTAAGGCATAATCATTTTATTAATATTCTTGAAATCCAATTTGTCAATCCTCAATTATTGGCAATTTTCACTCCTTAACGTTTTTAAAATTAAAAACAATAATATACTTCAATAATTTATTTAATACATTCCAATAGAACATACAAAAAACTTTTTTAGTAATAATTTAAGTGAAATTTATTGAATGCCAGTAATTAGCTTAAAGTAAAACTTAAAATCTACTAGAAACTTTAGATGTAGACAATGTGTTGTGCTACTTACTAATTCTTATCGCAGATTATTAAGATTTTATTTATGATTTGAATTATTATTTGACCAATGACTAAAATAAACTGGAATGTGACTAGATGCTTCAAAAGCTGTATTGTTGCTTACAAAATACAAAGAAAATGAATACATTTATCACAGACTGTACATAGTTTTGCAACAGATTTCTCAACTTCTTATAATATAATTAGTGTGTAAGTGAATTTATAATCTATTATTTGTGCGCTAAACAGGGCAAAAAGCACAAATGTTATATAAAAATAGGTTTTAGATATTTGCATCATACCATATCATAGTCAACAGTCAGGGTAAAAATTTTTGCAATGACATACAAGGAACAATCAAGCACACAAACAATGGAATAAAGCATATTATTTTTAAATTTCTTGATACTATCCATGCCTACAGGCAATTACGAAAGATTAATGTTTTAACTAGGTTATATGTGTTTTCTACATAGACAATTGTGGTTGCATATAATCATAATTTTATGTAACTTTGGTCATAAATTTTTAGTGTTCATTTAATTCTTGATAAAGAAATTTGTATAAAAACAAATAGACTCCTGCCCTGCAATACAAACTACAAATATACAACATTGTTCATGTTTGAAGAAAAAACACAGCATAAAATACTCAATCTTTAAGATGTATTACAGTAATACTTTAAAACAGAAAGAACCTTAACTACACATTTTACACAATTTTTTTTGTATTTGAGATTTATGATCTATAGATCAAGTAGGCTTTACTTATTTGTACTAGTGTTAAAAACTATGAAAAAATAATTCAATTATTAATACAAACTAGTTTTTTTCATTATTCTTAAAAACTCTTCCTGATTAATTTCACCATCCCCGTCTCTGTCCGCTTCATCAATCATCTCATGGAGCTCTTCATCTGTCAAATTCTCACCAAGCTCCTTTGCAACTCTCTTCAAGTTCTTAAAGGATATCTTGCCTGAAATAAAATTATTATTCTAATAAAAATAAACTTAAAAAAATAAATGCCAATTTACAAATTTCTGTTTAGAGTATAAAAGCTTAACAAGACAAATTATTTAGTTTTTGAATATAATAAATTATTAGGTTTTGAATGAATCAACAATGAAATAGTTATCTCACCAGTTTCATCATCATCAAAGAGCTTAAAAGCTTTCATAATTTCCTCCTTAGTATCTTTTTCAGCCATTTTTACAGTCATCACATCAAGAAAATCTTCAAATGCGATTTTCCCATCACCCTTATCTATTTCTGCAATCATCTTTTTAATTTCTTCTTTCTTTGGCTCAAAACCAAGAGCTCTGATAGCCACTTTCAATTCTTTCGTATCAATTTTTCCTGTGTTTTCAGTATCAAACAAGTCAAATGCTTCTTTTATATCACGACGCTGTTCCTCAGTCAATTCAAACTTAGGTCCTGACTTTTTACGTACTCCACCCGGTGTGGTATTATTTGAGTTCATACTTTTCTTCTGTGCATTATTCACTGTCGATGTCTATAATGTAAAAGCAAATATTTTTTAATTAATTCCACATTCTGTTATTTTGTAAATAAAAATGCGACACCAAAATATAGCAAAGAGAATAATTTTATTTAAAATGGAGAATATCTCACTATATTTCAGACAAATATAATCAATAAACGATTTACTGAACTTACCATTGTGATGTGTTTTACCGTTGATATCTTACTGTATTGCACTTTGTGGTAAGTCGACTATTAAGTAGGTAATCTTCTAAAACTATTGTCGTTTATCATAAAAAATAACGAAATTCATATATCTCGAATCTGAATATAAATTTCCGAAAATGGCAAATAATTAAAGATATTTATGAATGAGCCGGAAATGTCATATTCTTTGACAATCCCGAGTTTTCACTAGTTTTAACCAGTTAACACGTTTTTTTATGGCCTAGCAACGAGTGCTTTAAGCTATGTTAACAGTGGAATCATCAAAAAACTTAAAAGCACTGGGGGTTTCCCGTTGTGCCAATTGATTCTATGGATTCATTCTTCCATTTCACTTCCACCAGATCAAAATTACGACCTATAAATTACTTATGAAGTGGCAAAATGTAAAATCATACAAGATTGTGTTAAAGAAAATTATTTTTATTACTGCTTATTCTATTTTATAAATTACAGTCATGATTTTGATTAGATAATATTTATTTCAACTCCATTAGCTTATAATTACGTCAGGCATCATAAATACAAATTTTATATTAGGTGCGCAACTAAGTTCTCGCTGTTTGTCAATAGATGATGTCATCTATTGACAAACAGCGGTCTTGGTTCATGACGTTTTGGATATGTATCCAAAACGTCAGGAACCAAGCTTAGACAAATGGTAAACAAACCGTTGCGACACATGAGTGATTTTGTTTTCGCATTATATATTTCTGGTCAAGTAAAAATGTCGAATTTCGTGCCAAACAATCGTCATTTGCGGGAAGTGTTGATTTTCTTTTTTCATTCGAAAAAAACGGCAGCTCAAGCGCATCGAGAGCTTCAAGAAGTGTACGGAAACGATGCTCTAAGCGTAACAACATGCCGTGATTGGTTCCGTCGCTTCAAAGACGGTGATTTTGATATTGACGACCGTCCACGTGAAGGAAGACCCAAAACCTTCAAAGACGCTGAATTGGAGGCATTGCTCGATGAGGATTCGTGCCAAACTCAAGAAAAGCTTGCTGCAGAATTAGGAGTTACCCGTCAAGCCATTTCAAAGCGATTGCATGCGTTGGGGATAATTCAAGAATACAAGAAAATGAAAAGAAAATGAAATGAAAGAATGGGGAATACAAGAAAAATTATTTATGGTTATATAAAAACAATTAAATGATTATTGTTGATAAAATCTAAAGGTGTATTTAAAAACTATAATCTCTGACTACATCTATATTTAAACATATTATGTAATTTACAAAGTAATTGTACACATTAATAATATGGGATACAAATTATCTAATGCATAAACTATTTTAATTTATTATATCATAAGTATTTCAATTCACAATTGTAAGGCACTTATTTAAAATAATTATAACATTCATTAATTACTAGTGATATTAGAATATTACTTTATTGTGACTAATAATTAAAACGGTTGCCTAATATTACTGATACTTCTGAATTAAAACCTAAAAAATATATTCAACAATTGCATTACTTCTACTGTGCAGCAGCATAGTGTGGTGGGAGGGGGGTGGTAAAAGGTTTTTTTTTTGCGAAAAGTTTGCTATACTGCCTTTATAAAAATATTTATTATAGTTGCAAACCCATACAAGTAGGTCAAAATAAATCAATGGTTAATAAGGCTAAGGTTACTTTTATAAAGTAAGGCTTAATACAGAAATGGGATTTTTGGGCTAAGTAAAACTTTTATTATTATTGCACTTAATATTTTATTAATTACTTTGCCAATCGTATTTATTGCGAATTATTAATAGATTTCTAGCTATATTATTTATTTTACAACCCCCAAAAGCTTTTAACATATGTATTAAACTTATTCCTATTAATCACAGAATATAAATTTTCAAATCGGTTTCATCTATCTAATTCTATAATAAAAGTTTTACTGATTATAATAGCGGTCAAAGACTTGTAAAACTTGTAGAATCAGAGGCACAGTTTATTACGTAGTAGCAGCCTGACCAAGAATATAAAAAAACCTGGCCTGTCATTCAAAAATAGTTCAGCTCAATTTATATTTTGAAGCAGGTGCTAGATGTTTGTGTCAGTGCGCGGCGGGCAGCGTGCCGAGGGACTTCATGAGGTGGTAGCAGTGCGGCAGGCGGCTGCGGTGTCCGACGCGCTGCAGACTGGCGGCTGCCTGGGCCAGCATGCCAGCGCGCTCGCCCGGCGCCGCCAGCACGCCGGCCGGCAGGTGCTTGCACGCCATGTACAGCGCCACCGCGCGCTCACCCTCCCCGCTGCCCCCCTCCAGCGCGCGCTCTACAGTACAGTTGTATATCAAATTCTTCTAATTTTAAATGCAAGACAAAGTTAGATTATCAGCGCACTATACGTCCTCACAGAGGCCGAGAGCCTATCCTATGTTAGGGGTGACTAGACCATAGTCATTCACGCAGGCCCAGTGCGGGTTAGTGGACTTCACACATATTTTTGAATTTCATCGCAGAGATGTGCAAGTTGCATCACGATGTTTTCCTTCACCGTAAGAACATCGGATAAATGTATATATGGAAACCAAAAATCGAAAAACACATTGGTACATGGCGAGATTCGAACCCAAGACTTGCAGATTGCAAGTCAAGTGCTTAGCACCCGAACCAAACAAAGCAAATGAGTTTACCTTTTCCGCATATAATGGAGGAGCGATTGAACCTGGGACGCAGGCTGCCATCGAGCAGCTGCTGCGTACGACGCGGCGCAGCGCCCGCCATCATACGACACACTGCTGACTGCAGGAACACGCGCGACGTCACCCACTGCGCGTTGAAACCAACACAAACATATTAAAAACCGAACCAATAATGTCGCACTTTGAATGCAACGAGAATTTCGATTCTTAATTGTCCAACATTTTTGTAATTTTTGAAACCATTTTAGAAACCAAAGATGCAAAGGCGAATTTTATAGGAATACATGGAAAAGGAGGTGACAACTGACCGGTAAACTCTGCGACAGCCTCCTGAGCGAGTGCAGATCTCTCTGGAAGGCCTGCAGCTGCGCGTGCGACGCGGGAGGAGCGGCCTGCCCCGCGCCCGCGCCCCCCGCCCCCGCCTCCCATACCGCCGCGCGCACCTCCAGCACCCAGTCGCAGCATAGTACTTGCATCAACTAACAGTGCAAACTTCATTACCTATTCTGATCTTAATTCTTTAACAATATTGTAAGACCTAGGAAGGTCTTCAAATTACAACTAACATTAGTATCTTCAATAATAATTACGTCAAATTATCGTATCCTTTATACTTTTTCTTATATATCTTATCATATATCTTTATTTTGTTTCATGTAAAGGATCCACAACTCTAATGCTCTTCTCTCTTCTCTAACGATTTCCATGTTTAGCAAGGGTGATATTAAAAAAGATAAAAACATGAAAATGCAAATGAAAGCAAAATAACATGCAATACAAAAATAAAAATCAATAAAAATTGTAGCAAAATAATGTACCAAAACGATGAAAGCAACTAAAGCGAGAATTGCCTTGTAGTAATATTGCACAAAAACGGTAACAAGTGCAATGCAACTACAATGCACTCCCGCAATAGTCAACGAGCCGCTTCTTAGCTTCCACATCAAGCAACTTCAATCAAGCTAAAAAAAATCTGTCAAAAATAATATATCTGTAAAATAAACATAACTATCAAAATAAAAAATAAAATAAATGAAATTGTTAATCTTAAAATGTATATAAATCTAAATAAAATTGCTAAAGCATAGTAAGAAAAGTATGTCTTACCATCATAAGTTGTGTTGGTTTTCTGCAGCAATAATACGCCAATGAATCTGCTAATCGGGCTCCAGCAATATCACACATCTATACAAAATAATAAAAAATCTCACGTATACAACTACTAGTATCGCACGCGACTCTATCCGCGCATATTAAAAACTTAATTAGTAGCTTATACGTTCTTCCAGACTATCTTCTACATCTATGCCAAATTTCATCGAGATCCATGCAGCCGTTCTGGAGATACTTTTTAGCAAACATCTATCCAAATATTCGAAGTAAGATTATGGGGTAAATTAACACATTCACTACCACCTAAGATTTTATTATACATAGTTCACATTATTCCAGTCCATCGATCGAAACCACTGGATCGCTGGACATCCGTCAGCAAGAAAATCTTGATATAAGCTAACATAATAAAACCACACATATTTTCATTCTTCAATATCATCTGGGATTTGTGTTGTATTAAACACTAAACAAATAGAAAGTCTACAACCACACAGTTCTATAATAAAAGTAAATATAAAATAAAAGTTATTGGCATTGAAAAACTAACCACAGAATATAAAAAATCACACTATTTCACATCACATATGTTAAACAATATAACAATAGACTTAGTAAAAAAACTATAAAATCTTTGATTACTTGATAATAATTATAAATGAAATATAAACGCACCTTGAGATTGGTTTGCGAAGTCCTCTCCCTGAGACGGTCATCGGAGCAGTGCGCGAGGCTGAGCAGGGCGCGACGGCTTTTGTACGCGGCGTGCAGCGCCCTGCAGAACACACCTGTTTATTATTACTACCAAAGACAATAGTTATTAATAACCAAAGATATAAACTATGCGAGTGTTTATAAAACAATATCGAACTAGAAATTCTAAGTCCAACGTGTGTGAGAAGCGCCGCCACTCAACAATGAGCATTACTAAGCGATTATTAGATCATAAGTTTTATTTTCAAATTCCAATGAGACAATCGATTGTTCACAAAAATGATGAGTGATGGTGATTTTATATTCAACGTTAGATATTAACAGTTCACACGCCGCGACTGTTCCGTCCAAAATGTACGAGGAAATTACGGACATTTTAGAAAAATCGAGTTATCAGAAGAAATTATGAGGTATATAATTTGATTTAATACTAAAAAAAATATTCATAATATTTGTACATAATTCGTCTAAGATATTTGTAATCCCTAGATTAAAAAGATATTATGTAACTTTTTTTTCTTATTTGAAATCAACCCTCAAGAGAATCGAATCCCCAAAAAAACCAAGATCCAGCACCGTCTCACAATATCACTGTAAATTTCCATTACGAAGTGCCTACACAAAACATCGTTCTAAAAACAAAATAAGCGGAGTAGGATTAAATATAGTTTTTAGTTGTTAGTTAAATATATTTTTGTGCTTATATTAGCTAGACACAAGTTACGTTACCCTGGCAGGGGGTCCTCGCATGTGGCGAGGGGTTCAGGTAGCAGATGCAGGCGGTCGGCCAGCTCAGCCGCGCGCGCCCCCTCGCCCAGCAACCAGGTCGCCGCCACTCCCACTATGTTCGCCCACCACTCCATAACCGGATCCCAGCAACCTACACATTACACTATTTATAATCCTAAACATACGTTGTCAGTCCCCACCGAGGTGTTCAGAGCCTAACTAATTTAACGAGGCCATAGTCAAGCAAGCTAGCTTAGTGCGTGTTGGTTGACTTTACATATATCTTTGAATTTCTTAGCAGATATGTACAGGTTACATCACAATGTACATATGAAATTCGAAAATCGAAAAAACCCATTGATACATGGCGGGGATTGAACCTGGAAGTTTTAGATTACGGTTCGTTCCGATCAAACACTTAACAACTGTGCCATCGACTCTCTGAGACAAAATATACGCCTCATACATACACTCAACCCCAATGTGAAATTTAGCAAAGGTGAGATGTAATTTTTATTACAAAATTGTGAAAAACTGTATATAATTTTATCGTAAGTTGTTCGGAATTGTCACCACGCTGTCGAAATTCTTGTACCTATTTCTGTCCTTTTTACTCTCTTTCAGAAAACTGAGATAGCAAATGTTTCGGCATACACACATATCATTGTTTCTGTTTTTTCAAGGAGAACGTAAGGGATGACAATATATGAGTGCAGGGACCTGTGTGTTGGGGAGAGTCAGTGGAGACGTCGTCCAGTATGAGTTTGACGAGATCAAGGACATCGCGCGTGCTGCTGCGCTCGTCCGCGCTCAGCAACATCTGCAGGCTCTTCTGTAGCACCTCCACGTGATACGCCTGCAAATACATCATAGTAAAATGCGTTTAAACTAAGATTTCTACTAAAATAAATAGGTAAATTTCAACAAAAAAAAATTCTCTCGCAGGTTTTAAGTAAAATATTCTCGAATTACCTTGTTTTTCAATATGAAAGTTATGACGTCATAATGTACAATCTCATATAGAAAGCATTGAACAAAAACACACTTTGTTGATTTTAGACAATCTCAGGAAGAACGAATATTTTGAGTTCATAGGTTATACAGTTTTTTTAAAATTGAAGAAGCAATTAACTTACCCGCATAGCATATGCGAGCGGGTCAGCGGGGCTGGGCAGGCGGGAGAGTAGCGCGTGCGGCGCGTGCGGCGCGCGCTCGTAGCTCCAGCGGCGCGTGCGCAGGAACCGTTGCCCGCGCGCGCTGCCCGCCCACCGCAGACGCACCTGCGCCTGCGCACTCGCCTGCGAGCACGTGCCGCACAACCTCAAGTAGTACCTGATACAAATATAAACCAAATATTATAAATAATAGCTAGTTTAACTTTAAAAATATTTTGCCTCGAGAATATTAGATACAAATAAACGCTTACCCGCACAACCAATTGCCAATCTTGGGCATATAGTCTTTGAACACCAAAGCGGCGGTGACATAAGTGTCGGACATAAGCTGTCTGTTGCCGGTCACCTCGGCCAGGTTGATGGCCTGCAGCGCCAGCAGCACGCGCTCGCTGCGCCCCTTGTGGCTGGACAAGATCTCTAACTGCGCCAGCCGGTTTGAAACACTCGCTACTTCAGCAGCCCAATGTCGAGTCGCTCTTCTTGCAGGGCTAAAATAATAATTACTTTTGAGCAATCCACCGTTTTGACCATTAAGTGACCACACAGAAACCAAATTTAGTGAGTACTGGAGAGCAATTCTAGTTTTCTTCCCCTTCCCACAATTTCAATAAATAAAAGTTAGGACGGGGAATTTTCAGCTTATTGAATAGGAGTAGCTATATATATAGAATATGTTGCTCGTTTGTCACCTTCTAGAATCAAAATATATGTGATACCTATCAGTCCACAAGTCTCCCGCCCGCCTGGCGAGGAAGCCACCGAAGGGCAGTCGCTGCAGCATCTGACGCAGGGCTGCGGCGGCCAGCGCGGACAGACCGGCGCGCCCCGCACCGCCCGCCTGCACGCTCTTGCCGCACACGCTCAGCGCACGGTGCAGCTCCAACCGACCGTTACTTAGATCACCCTAATTTTATGAAAACTTGATATATTTCTGAATGTGGGTTTCTGAGACCGAAATCCCCCAATAAAACATATCGTCATCCCTGTCATTATCAATGAAATCAGAGATAATTTTCTGTTTTAAATGGATATTTTGGTTTCAGAAACCCACAGTAAGTGTATTTAATGTATTCAGAGTATGTAATTTTATTAACACGAACAAAGAAATAAAGCCAAATGATTTGAAAGGGCAACCTTAAAATATGCACAGTGACAATTGACAACATTTTAGAACTAAATGTGTCGTTTTTTAGTACATTTACATTACAGTACATTACAGTTTTAGTACATGTATATTGTAAATCCTCATTTATTTCTCTACTTACATATGAGTATTTCAATAGTATTGTTTTATATACAGTACCTTAATACCGACTTTAAACTTAGAAGAAACTTAAAAGAGTTTTGTAAGTCTGTATATCTTTCAAAATAAACACTAAAAGCCTTTGAATAAGTAAGACAAAAATATAAGGGTACAAAGATATATCATTGTTTCTTACCTTCTTCAAATAATTATCAGCTTGATGTTTGTGATTGTAAAACAGGCCTGCTTCTTTAGATTGTGATTTCGGAACAGAATCTCCATATACCAATAACTTTATAAGACACAAGGCAAGCACCGCAAAGTTCAGTAAATATATAAAGAAGTTGTTGAAGAACCATGAACCCCAAGGCATTCCAACTGAACCTGTAAAATTATAAATAAAAAAATGTAAAAATAGGAATTGTCACATCCAGTTACTATATTAAATGTTAGAAGTGTCTTTTTTCATTTTATATGTAAGCAATAAGTTAAATTAACTTTTGCTTTCATCTTTTGATTGCTTGCAACTCCGTCCGGAAAAAAAAAACTTTTTGCCTATGTGTTCTTCCAGACAATGTTTTACATCTCTACCCAATTTCAGCAAGATCCCTACAGCCATTCTAAATACAAACATCCAACCATTGATCCAAACATTTGCATTTGTAATGTTAAAATAATATTAATTAACACAGAATTGCCAGTAAACCAGCAAGTTCCTTGGCACTAGACAAGATTCTGTCATTTTAAAAAAGTTCAACAACTTACCAAAGTTCTCTTCTGACAATATTCTTCTCTGATCTATTCTCGTTGAATAAACAGTTGATGTTGATTCAAACATGAACGCTCCGAAGAAGGCACTGAATGGATTGAAAGCAATCAAACCAACCATAAACGCACAGAGTGCTAACCTAGAGTGGTCACCCATTCCGATAACCACTTTGGAATATTTATCTTCAACCTGAAAATCGTTATAAACAAAATAGTAAGTAATAGCATAGTACAAATATTAAATTAATTTCTTGAAAATTACTCAAAAAATTTGGAATGAACTAATGAAAAAACAAGCCATGGAGTGAAGCTCCATATCAAAATAAAAAAAACAAATACATAAATTACCTTGAATTCCGGTGAAGATGGTGAATCACTGTCAAGTGAATGCGGTGACTGGTATGGTGAAGAAACATCGCTGTGTGGTGGAGTGTACGCTCCTTCGAAAACTGGTTCCTTCACACCAGACTTTTGACAAGCCAACTTTAACGCTGCATTCTCTGATTTCAATCTTGTATTCTGATTTTGTAAGTACTTGATGTATTCTATTGTTTTTCTTAATATTGCAGATTTGTTTAGCTAAAACAAAAAACTTCTTTTTAAGATGTCCTGTCAAAACATTTATTGCACATTAAGTGCGTAGCCTGTTTTAGCTAGTGAAACACCTCTTAATTCCATAGCCATTCAGGCAAACAAAAGTTGCCATAATTTTATGATTATAATCATCATCATCAGCTCACTATAAGTCTCCACCAAGGGGCTCGGAGCTTACCCTAAGCTGGGGGTGTTTAGGTCATAGTCAACCAAGCTTGCCCAGTGCAGGTTGGTTTACTTCACACATAATTTCATCCCAGATATGTGCAGGTTTCATCACGATGTTTTCCTTCACCGTAAAAACATTGGATAAATATACATATGTAAACCGGAAATCTAAAAACACATTGTTAAATGGCGGGATTTGAACCCAAGACCTGCAGCTTGCAAGTCAAGTGCTTAACCCCTGAGCTACCAACATTCTTTTATAATTATAATTTTACTTAATTAAACTTTACCTTTGCATCTTCTCCAACAAGCATATTCTTCAATTCAACTATTCTATCATTAATACTAGTTCTGTATCTCCTTTCAATAGCATTATGAGCACTCCGCTTAACCTCTTTCACTTTCGGCACACCCAAGTTTGCTTGGTTCAAGGCAATCTTATCTCCATCAAGAACTACAGGGATGCCAGTCAGAACTGTTGGAGCGTTATTACTTGCAAAGAATGTATGTATTGGTCTACTCTCAGTGGTGGAATTCGTATTGGTTAAAATGCTTTGAGTTGTAGCTAAAATAAGACAAATGTTACTTTCATTTGTGCACCAAAAGGATTTAAAATTACAATGACTATACCTGGGAAACTACAGAGTGACAAATTAAAATCTTTCAAAGGGCAAGAGACCCACAAAAATTATATTTTGTGGGTTCCTCACCTCTCTCGAATAATAATATTTTTTGGATATATAAACAAAAAAAATATTTTTAAGCTAAGTTGACTTTTGAGTATCAGCTACTTATATTTCCAATCTTAAAAATATTATAAATGTGAATATTTGGATGAATGGATATTTGTTACAAGGTATCTCCAGAACTGAAGTCTGCATGGATCTCGCCAAAATTTGGCATAGATGTAGAACTTAATCTGGAAGAACACAATGGATACATAACAAGTAAGTTTTTTTAACTTTGCATGGACAGAGTGGAGGGCAACAGCTACAATTCTTAAAGGTCTACAATAATTAAAGGAGGATTACCTTGTATTGGTTCACTTGTGTACATCAGTGTTTGTGTTTCTGGGTTAATAATATTAGATCTTAAAATAACTGGAGAGTAGTTTGCATCTTGAGTGTTTAGAATAAATGGTGTCACAGTTTTTGCATTACTTGGTATCAAAAGTGGTTGATTAGGTTGATTTGTTTTACTTGCTTGAGTTAATTGTGTACTTCCATCAATAGGAACAAATGATGTTCTGCCATCGGCAAATTGTTGTAAATTTGCTCTTGTAATATTCACATATACCGGGCTTTGAACAACTTGTTGAATAACCATTGGTTGCTGTGGAGTGATTTTTGCTTGGCTATGTTGGGTCACATCAGGCAAAGGTGCTGAATTTTTAGCTGGTTGCAAATTATATCCTTCATCCCTACTATATACACCCAATACCGGACTACTCTTTGGTTGTGACACATTATGTGCCGGTTTACTAGTTTGTGAGTATTGAGAAACTAATGGATTTCCATTATGTTTAGGTTGTGGAGATTGCTGTGGTTTAGTTTCAATTTTTGCACTATCAACACACCAATCTAAACTCGGGCTATTATTATCGACTAATGATAATTCTTCTTCTAATTTAGACATAAAATCCCCGTCGTATCCATTAAGGAAATCTGAAAACATGCAATAGTTACATCATATTCAGTAATTCAAAAGAAATTGTAGTAACTATGAAAATTATTTACCCTCTAATTCAGTGATATCGTCTGCATTGAAGACATCGTTAGTAAGAAGTAGTTCCTGGTCCATTTTGATTAATTTTTCAAAACTAAATTAATTTACTATCGTATTTATCGCAACATTCCAAAAAATTATAATTTCGCACCTTGTTTACGTTTGGGATATTTTGACAGAACTGAATTCGCCAATCAGATGCAAGGTTAAAGTGGTGTGATTCTACGTCTAAAATAGGCTCATTCATGATTCACTTTACTGATTCGACATTTTAGCAAAATATGAAGAAATACTATGCCAAATACCGATAACAAAATATTTTTATTTAGTCAACAGATTATATTCTGCTAAAAGAACTTGGATTATTACTTTAAACTTATATTTTTTTCTTAAAGTTCGATATTTTATGCTTTCACAAGTCTTGTTTTAATTTGATCGAGCCAATAGTTAGTGCTATAAATTTATTATAGATGGCTCTTATTTAAATCCGTCAAAAGTGAGTGTGAAGTGATCCAATTTCGTATTTCGTTTCGATATCGTACTGGAAATAAAAATTTATTTTGTGTTTCTTTTTTTTACTTAATAATTTAAGAGTGTTGTTGTTTATAACTTTGATTGCCGTGTCTGTGTAAAAGAGTTGTGATAGTTTAAACCTTACAGAAATAGAAAAGTAGTCCCGTACACCTTTATGTTGTAGTAAAAATGGTATGTACCTTATATTTCTATTTTTTAAAAGCAATTTGAAAATTTTCAGCAAACTAAAATTACACCTAGATACTAATGTTGTTTTTGTATATAAACAATCTCGGGCAATAAATGTTTCAATAGTGTAAGGTACATGTATATATGGTAAAAAAGTTTAGATAATTAACTAACGCCTCCTTTAAAAATTAAACTCATACAAAAACTCTCACTAAAAATATCTATTCTGTTTTAACTTAAGTAAATAGGTAGCTATACAAGGTTGATGTCACTTTCTACAGCGGCCGTTGCACTTTCGACCACTTCATATAGTTTGTTTATTGTCCATATTTTTTATTCGAATTATTCGAAACAAATCGTACAATTATTTTTTTGCAACGGAACTACATTATACTCTTGCACATGTTCAAAGTCGGCGCCTGGTCATTGTTTACTAGCAAACTTACTCTTCGACAATCAAATTAATATACAATTACATTCACATATTCGGAATCTAGTTTATATTTTTTGAATTTAACTCAAATTATTAATAGAAATTACCAATGGAATGCTGTCGTTATTCATATTTCTTATCTAATATCAATGGCTCCGCAAAAAATGCAATTTTTTTTTCGTCTAATTATTCGTTTAAATTATGTTTACTAGATGGCAGTAAATTGCAATTGCAAACTAATACTCATATTTATGTTAGTTTTTACAGATGCAAATGTATCTACTTTTTTATTGTATCATACTATATTTCTTATTCAACACATTCTGTACAATTTAATCGACACACAGAGTCCATTTTCATTAAATATCACTTGTTATAAATTTTCTCACAGAGAAAAAATGTCGAATTTTTGTTGACTTACAGCTAAATCTCTTGGAAAATTACCCAATTTCACAAGTATATTTATAACTCCGCTTTTCTAAACAATAGCCAAAACCAAAATTGATTTTGAAGAGATTTTTTTGTGGAACGTCATATTAGAATATTCATCGTCATAAAAGTATTAGTAAGGGCTATTGATAAAATATTGCAAGTTACTCCAATTAGAGTCTGTGACTAAAATTACGGGAATTAAAACAACTTATAAGATATTAAACGTTTAATTTATATATGTAACATTATATTATCTGTAAATATAGAGTTCTTATTATAATATGTAGTTACGAGATAAACAAACTCGCTTTAATTTTAACTAATTGTAAACATACATAGCCAACTACTTACAAATACATAAGATAATTTTGCATTCACAACTAAAATGATGAACTCCAAGTGCATAACATCGTACTTAATAATATATCTATAGGCACAAAATAGGTATTAAAAATCACATAACATCTGAGTTAGTTAACAAAACATTGAGGTATATTATGACTGAACAAACATGAGCGTAACAAAATTCATTCATTTGTATCGAATACATGTGATGTACTTTCCTACAGGAGGCTTGTACTCGTTCTTACTAGATTTTATATATTTAAAAGGAGTACAGTGCATCTTTTGGAATGTCCATAACACGTATCTAAACGAAGGCACGGTCTCCGCTGTTTAGCAACTTAAATATACAACATACGTATATACTAACTCGTATCTATGGCATTTTCAAACTAGACTACAGTAACAAATCAGTCTTCCAATTAATTACCAAAATAATAAGTAAGAATATTATAATACAATTAACTTAAATATTATCAAATGATTAACATAAATGTAAATTTATTTTATAGCAGTTATAACATAATTTCAAAATAAAATATAAGCATAGTTCTGCAAAATATAGGTTGGAGATGTGCATATTTTTTACAATTTTAGGATATAGATTGCATAAAATTTTTATAATTAATTATTACGTATTAAGGTTTTCATGAGTGAATATTATCAATTTATCTTTTCATTAAAATTATTAGTCGTTTAAATTATGTTAAAATATTGAGCATCCACACCTACTTAGTGATTAAACACGCTAACTCTAATAAGAAAGTTCGTGCGAGTGCAAATCAATCGACGACAACGTGAATACATCTAGGCATCAACAATGAACAATTATGGCAAATCGCAAACAATTACTATTAATCTTAAAACCACAACGTTAGGAATTATTAGGTAGGTATTACAAATACGTCGCTTGTTGTAGTTGTATGAGCGCGCACGCGACACGGTGCGTTGCGATGCCGCAGGGACGTCGCGGCGGCACCGCGCGGTGCTCCGACTAGAGCTAATCTGCAGCGAACGTGAGGTAATGGCGGCGTTTCAGTCTATAAACATCACAGTCGCGGACAACAATTGCACGATAACACGTCGGTCGGGCCAGCAAGGCGTCTCGGCGCGGCCGGCGCGGCCCGCCTCACCGCGCCCTTCCCGGTCCTAGCCTCGATTATGACAAACTTACTCGCTAATTAAAGCTAACCTATTTGCTAACCCATTAACAAAGACGTAAATGTTATAAAACATAAAAAAAACCAAAAGAGAAGAAAATAAACAAACAAAAATCACAAAAGATACGCCACGCCGTCTGACGGAAATTTTATTTCGTCGACGGCTTCGGTGACGTTTAGAAATAAATAGAGAAGAAGAGAGGTAGAATATAAGTGGCCGCGGGGCCCATTGCAATCGCCCGGCCGGAGCGCCCGGCGGCAGCCTAGCGGTCGGTGCTTACTCTAACTTTGTACGCCTAAGTCAGTCTTTTAAAATATTCGCAAACGACTGTAGCGGCAATTCAATCTCTTTCGCTGCTACAGTCGAGCGCAAAATTACGCGGCGGTACGATGACCCCGGCCGGGGGATCAGCATCTCTGCGTCGTGTAACCGAGAGGTCTTCGACATGGTCGTCGTCAGGCGGTGGCGTGCGTGGCGAGTGCGGCGCGGAGCGAGGCGGTGTGCGGGGCGCAAGAGCAGCGTGTGCCGCCGCGGCCAGAGCCATGGCGTGCAGTGCCTCTCGCCCGCCGTCTCTCGTGGCGCCTTCCAATGCTTGTTGCAAGAAAGATGGATCCAGGAGTGGCGTGGTTGGTGAACCTTCTTCGTTGCCTCCCGTGCCGCTCAGACCGTAAGGGAAGGCGGCTCCGTTCGATTCCCTCTTTACGCCTCGGCTCATAGGTCGGCTCGTTGTAATACCGAGTTTCTTAACTTTGTCATATAAAGTGCGTGAGGGAACTCCATATTTTCTCGACGCTTGCAACGCACTCATCCCGTTCCTCACGCATTCGATTGCAGACATTATATCGGATCTCGTGTACTGCTTGTATCGCTTCCATTCCGGTTTCTGTTGCGGCGGCACGTAGGGTGCTAGACCTGCTCTTACGTCTTGTTGGAAATTCGGGGGCGGAGGTGATGAGTGGAAATTACGTGAATTTTCTTCTTCGAAAGAACGTTCCGTGTAAGGCGAATGAGCGTCTTCGGAGCGATCGGATCTGTTGTAGTGGGGAGAGGAGGCTCTAGAGGACAGTCTGCGAGGACGGTAATCGAAAGGGCGCTGGGGACTGGGGGGACGGTCAGTTTCGTGAGCGGATCCGTTAGAGTGAAGGCGAGGAGGTGCGTGCTGATTCAGAGGATGGCAGACTAGGGACATCGGCTGAGATGAGTCCACGGGGGTGGTCTGAGCCAAGACGTTGCGCAAAATCGGCGTGTCTCGAGTGGCTAACATGCTGGATAGTTTCTTTCGCTTCAGAGGGTTCATATCGGGGGATTCGTAGGCGGCGGACAGCACTGGCGCGGTTGGTGGAGGCGGCCAACGACAATTAGGCACAGGGACGGGGACGGGAGGTGAAACACTAGAAGGCGCGGCTGGTACTACTCTAGGCGGGGAGGCGGCCGGCGTGCGCTCGCTGCTGCCCGGCCGACGGCGCAACTCAGTCATGTCAAACAGCCCCTTAACCTCAAGCTCCTCCGCCACCTTCATAATTCTCGGTATATGCGCCTGAGTCACGTTGACTTCGCCCGTGTACATGTACTCGAGGAGGGCGCGCATCTCGAAATCCTTGACGCCTGGGAAGAGGATGCTGCAATGGTCCATGGGCACATCAGCCAGAATGGACTGAAAGTACGGAGAGTTGGCTGCTAACACAACTCGATGCGCTTTAAAGGTGACCTGGTCATCTACGACCAGAGTGCAGTCGACGTAAGTCTCGACTTTAATGAGCGCCTCCAGAATCTCCACCAGGTTAGTTTTGTGGTGGTTCCACTTCAGGCAAAACGTCTGTTGCCCTTCACTGCTGCCCATTTTTCTTAATTGCGCTTCTGTGAACAATAAATTAAGTTTTTATATAACATATTTTTATTACCTTAATAATTACAAAACAACAATTGCTGCACTTATAAATGGAAATAGCAACAACTAAAAATTGCAACTTAAACATATACAGTAATACAAACAATGCTTAAGAGCAAATCAGCAATCAATATTGAGTCATTTTATAATTTTTTGGGTACCTATTTTTAACTTTAAATGAATTTGCTTGAAATTAAACCGACCTAAATAATGCAAAGCACTCGCAATAACTAATCAAAGGGCTTGATGACAATCAAACGATTTTTTTACTCACTCTCAAACTCGCTACAAACTATCTTTAGGATCTATTATTGGTAAGAGCTGTAACCAAAGGTTTGGACCTTAATATATCTTAAAGACTGATTTCCAGATAATGGTAGACATTTTATGTTTAAATTTTAATACACATCAGACAATGCAACAATAGGAATATTATTAGTACAGAGCGTTACCAATTTGAAGATTGTGAAATATTAATATTTTTTATAATATTTAATCAATTCCATACATTTGTTAAGATGGCATCATAAAGTTAAAAAAATTAATAACTTCGCAAATAAACTACCGTTTTCACGAACGTGCAAACACAACGATAGCTATTGAAGCGCCAATAGTTTAATCGTACGAGGTGAGGACTGCGAAACATGAGGTCGTGGGTTTGAGTTCGCCATGTGAATGTTTTCATAAACCATGCAAAGACCTAAGTTATATTTGCATTGTCAAAATAAGTAATGGTTGGGAATTTTT